ATAACAGCTCACTCTTGTTTATTTAACCCATATTGGGTCTGTTGCTGGATACAACTAATATTTTGAATATGCATTCCCAGCCTAGAAGTTGTGTTGTGTGAACTTGGTAGACCATTTTAGGGTTATGCAAAGGCTATTCAATCTTACAAAACTAGGGCTTGCTTATGCAAGATTGCATATGCAATCTGGCATCCATGGGCACTGCAGCTTATCTTCAGTTAAATAACTCACAATCCATGACATTGTGAGTGCTGATCAGCATGCGTTTAAGTTTGTCATTTCCTTCTATCCCATGAAGGAAAATCAGATAAATATAGACAAACTTCAAACAACAGATTTTCACCAGTACCTCCTTGCTCTTCCAGAACAGCACCAGTTAACACTTGGGTAAGCTTTTCTAATTCTTTTAAACTTTATAAGCCTACTTTCTTTTCTGTGTGTTTTGCTTTAAATGTCTCTTGGAGAATGGAATGGAATTTATTTATTTATTTATTTATTTAAAACATTTCTATCCCATCCTTCACAAAAGCATCTCAGCATGGCTTACAAAGCTTAAAATCAACAAAATAAAAATACAATCAATAATACAATAGATAAATAATTATAATAAATACAATCAGTAATAGAAGTACAACCAGAGTTCAAACAATAAACAAGAAAAGATGAATAAATCATATTCATTAAAAAATGTGACTGTTAACTTGACTGTTAATTGTTAACTTTTGGTGGGGGTAATTGCTTTGAGCACTTGCTAAGTTTTGTGAATGTCTGCTATGTTTCCCATTCTATGTATTTTATATACTTATTTTGATATGCCCATGTTTTAAAACCGGTGATCTATTGCACAAACATAGCTGAAGCAGCATTTGCCAATTATCTGGATAACATTTTTTCAAATATTTTGTATGTAAAGAAAATATTTATAAGCTTCATTTAGCAACCAGCAGTTTTGACAGATATGTAGTAGAATAGAAACATTTACTCTCATTCACACTCTATACATTTTCTTCCCACAGCTTCATCCCTTAGAGATTTCTCAAGTTTTATCAAATCACAGCTCTAATAGAAAGCATGGAACTGTCCTACATTACCTGACAGCAGAATATTTCCCAGCCTCTTTGAAGTGCATAAGCAAAGGTTAAACTGGAGTGCATAAGCAAACGTTAAATTCCAAGAGTGCCATAATTTTGAGAATAAATAATTTATATAATACATTTCCATGCTTAATGAAGGAACATTGTGTTTTATCAACAATTTGAAAAATGTTTTTCAAAATTGAAACTGGCAAGTTTAAAGCACACTGAAAATATCTAGGAAAACCTTATATGATTTATTATTATCATCACCATCATCATCTCCAAAAGATTATCTATGGACTATTCTGGAGCCATTCTGTAAAAAAATCCTATTCTTATTACAACAGGTTAACTTAAATCCATGAAATAGGACTCTCCACCCCACTCATCCCTTTTTTCCCCTTTCCAGGTATTCACCGAACCCACTGGAGCAGATTTTGCAGCTGCAAGGGGCTATAACAGAATCTGCTATACTAGCCATATCCATTGCACTGGCAAAGAGATGCCCTCAAATTTCATACATTAGTTCCTGAATCAAATTTTTCTTGATCTTTAGTCAAGGGTGTGACATCAATGTGCATTTGTAGTTAAAAAAAAGAAAAGAATTGGTGGCTATTTTGAGCCTTTTTAGTAAATAGTAGATTCCTTTATCATTCTAGATAGAATTTACTTACAGATCAGATATGTCTTGCCAGAGATCTCCAAATTCCATTTGACTCAAGCACATGAGGTTGCAAGCTTTGTTTTTTTTTACTTTTTTGAATGAAAATGCTTGACTCCCCTGTCATGGTCAGATCACTTCCTAGTGAGGTTTGTGCTCGAGAGCGACATCTCCCTCTGTAAGGGTGCAGACCCGATTGTGTGGGTCCGCCCCCGGAGCCGGATGGATCCGGAAGGATTCCTGAAGGCTCTGGGGGAGTTTCCGGCTGACAAGACGGGTGCTCCTGTCGAGGCTCTGGTTGAACTGTGGAATGGGGAGATGACCAGGGCTGTAGACACGATCGCTCCTAAGCGTCCTCTCCCACCGGGCAGAGCCCGCTCTTCCCCTTGGTACACTCCAGAATTGAGGGCAATGAAGCAGGTTGGGAGACGGCTAGAGCGTAGGTGGAGGAAATCACGTGATGAATCTGACCGAACACACTTAAGAGCCCACTATCGGGCCTATGCTGTGGCGGTGAGGGCGGCGAAAAAGAGACACTTCTCCGCTTCCATTGCCTCCTCACAATGCCGTCCGGCGGAGCTCTTTCGAGTGGTGCAAGGCCTGGTTCACCCAGGGCCAAAGGAAGAGCTGACTCCACCCTCAAAGGCCCGCTGTGACGACTTTGCCGAGCATTTTAGGGAGAAAATCGCTCAGATTCGTCACGAGCTGGATTCCACTATTGATTCAGAGGTTTTAAGGGAGACACCAACGCTGCCGTCTGGTCCAGAATTATTGGATGAATTTCAGTTATTGCGGCCCGATGATGTGGACAAGGTGCTTGGACGAGTACGTCCTACCACTTGCCTTCTGGACCCTTGCCCGTCTTGGTTAATAAAGGATTCCAAGCACGGGATTGGAACCTGGATCTTGGAAGTGGTTAACGCTTCTCTGAGGGAGGGTCGGGTGCCTGCCCCTTTAAAGGAGGCGGTAGTCCGACCGGTCCTGAAGAAGGCGTCACTGGATCCAGGGATGGCCGCTAACTATAGACCAGTGGCCAACATCCCGTTTCTGGGCAAGGTGTTAGAGCGAGTGGTGGCGGGACAACTCCAAGCACTCTTGGATGAAACTGATTATCTGGACCCATTTCAGTCCGGCTTCAGACCCGGGTACGGTACTGAATCTGCCTTGGTCGCCCTGTACGATGACCTGTGCAGGGAGAAGGACAGGGGGAGTGCGTCCCTGTTGGTTCTCCTGGACCTCTCAGCGGCTTTCGATACCATCGACCATGGTATCCTTCTGGATAGGCTGGCGGGATTGGGGGTCGGAGGCACCGCTTTGTGGTGGTTCCGCTCCTATCTCAACGACCGATTCCAGAAGGTGGTGTTGGGGGACTATGGCTCTGCGCCATGGCAGCTTTGCCATGGGGTACCGCAGGGTTCCATTTTGTCCCCTTTACTGTTCAATATCTACATGAAACCGCTGGGAGAGGTCATCAGGAGGTGTGGGCTGCGGACCCATCAGTATGCTGATGATACCCAGCTCTACCTCTCGTTTTCCACCAATCCAGGTGAGGCAGTGGCTGTACTGAACCGGTGCCTGGCCGAGGTAATGGGCTGGATGAGGGCCAATAAACTGAAGCTCAATCCAGACAAGACGGAGGTCCTGTTGGTTGGCGGTTCGGGCTTCAGAGAAGGTGACCTGAACCTTGTCCTGAATGGGGTTGCACTCCCTCCTAGGGACAAGGTCCGCAGCTTGGGAGTGCTCCTCGACCCGGAGCTTTCACTTGAAGCTCAGGTGACAACAGCGGCGAGGAGCGCTTTCCTCCAGCTTCGGCTGATTCATCAGCTGCGCCCCTACCTGGAGTACGACTGCCTTGCAACAGTGACTCATGCGCTGGTGACTTCCCGTCTTGACTTCTGTAACGCGCTCTACGTGGGGCTACCCTTGAAGACGGTCCGGATACTTCAATTGGTTCAGAATAGAGCTGCCAGGCTGCTGACGGGGACTGGACGTTATGTTCACATGACGCCAGTTCTCCGTCAGCTTCACTGGCTCCCCATTGAAGTCCGGGCCCAATTCAAGGTGTTGGTAATGACCTATAAAGCCCTAAACGGCTTGGGTCCTGGTTACCTGAAGGAGCGCTTACATCCATATTTGCCCAGTCGCCCCCTGAGATCGGCGGGAGAGGCCCTTCTCCGGGAGCCCTCCGTGAGAGAAATTAGGAGGGTGGTTACTCGGAGAAGGGCTTTCTCAGCGGTGGCGCCTAAGTTATGGAATGCGCTCCCCAGAGAGGTCCGCCTGGCGCCGTCGTTATTTGTTTTTCGGCGCCAGGCTAAGACCTTTTTATTTAAGCAACATTTTAAATGCTAAATACAATTGAATTTTATCTGGCCAGGGCGGCTTATTTTATAATGTGAGTTTTAATTAAGATTATTTTATATGGATTTTAACTTGTTTTATCTATGTTGTAAGCCGCCCCGAGGCTTCGGCGAATGGGGCGGCATAAAAATGTTTTAATAAATAAATAAATAATAAATAAAATTCATGTGCATTTTCATGATTTTTTTCCAAATGTATAGTGCATCTTTGAAACGTACTCATTCTTCTCCCATTGACTAAAGCATGTTTGTACGCATTTTTCAAATATATGCATTTTTCATGCATTTTTTAAATGCATGCACATTGTCAAACAGTATTTGGGGGAGTCTGCAAATCACATTAGATGTTCAGAAAGGTACATACTTTGTCTACGGATTGTCTCTGGGTCCATGTTCAGTCTGGAATGTGTAAACTGGGTAAATCCTGATCAAAACCAAACTGAAACAAATTTCCTATACATCTCTACCAAAATGTAAAATTTAATTTTTTTACTTAGTGACACTGTTAGCTCAATATAACAATGAGCCTGAATCCAAAGCAACTTTGTATATGTAGTATCCAATTAATGTCCCTCCACTATCAGTAGAAGGGAGGAACAGCAATTTTTGACTATTTCCTCACTCCCTGGACCCCCTCCTAATTGGTTTCAGAAAGTCATTTATGTACCCAAGCACCAATAAAATGTTTAAATTTTAAATTTGAAGAGCAAACTGTCATGGCCATAACCCCAAACTGGTTTTAAAATCCTGCTTAGTTCCAAAAGTGGGTTACCATGTGCAATGTATGGGGAAAGAAAGGCTGTAGCGTGACAGGAGCATGCAAAATCTTCTTGAGTACACAGACCCAGCGATGCAGTTCTTTAGATTCCGGTCTATATGTGCAATCTTTGAGCATCATTTTGTTACCTTTTGTGCAGCAAGATGGAGAGCTGTCCTCTGGCTGTTATCAGCTTTATTAACATCTGTTCCTGTCTTCAATAAAGCCTCAGCACAGTCTAGCCTATCAGCCAGCACACAGTACATGAGTGGAGTTCTCCCAAACTGGTCCTCTTTGTCTTTCAGATCAGGATTACCTATAACAATAGATAACAAAGTGAACAGTAATGCTGGATTTATAGGAAATTAATTACATGTTGACATTTTCTATGTAATTGAGAAAACAGCACACAAACTCTTTATGAGGAAAGTAAATGGTTATGCTGCTAGACTGCCAGAAGATTAGAAAACATAAACATGAATACTATGTGAAAAACAGAAACAGCAAAGAACACCTGCTTTATGTCCACCCATTGAGCTGCTGTTAAAGTTGGCTGCATGCAGCATTGTTGCCCCCCCCCCCCCCACGTGACCCGCACTGCCACCTTTCCTCCCAGCCGGTATTTTTAAGGGACATAAAATTGCAGTCTGCTGCCAAAATTGAAGGCCACAGCAGCTCTGGGAGTGGAAGGGAACTTCCTTCTGGACTGCCCAACACTGCATACCACAATGTTAAAAATACCAAACAGTAACTTATAACTGATATCAGCATACCTCAGAGTTGCTGCAACATTCAAATTGTAAACAGAGGAACTATATATTTTATATTTAAATTATGGAGGATAGGTGGAACCAATTAGAGCTAGTTTAAACATTTAGGAATGAAAAGTTTTCCTAACATTCTATGTGGGGCTGCCCTTGAAGACAGTTCAGAAACTTCAACCGATACAGAATAGGGAAGCAAAACTGCTGGTACAAGCAAGTTGTGCACCCATATCACCCCAAATTATATCAGTTACATTGGTTACCAGTTGAGTTCCAGGCCCAATTTAAAGTGCTTGTGCTAACATATAAAACCCTAAACAGCTTGGGACTAGGATACTTGAAGGACTGCCAGCTCCCATATGTATCTACCCAGTTCCTAAAATGTGGTGAGCAGGACCTCTGAGAGAGTCATCCTTTAAGGAGGTAAAGAGGATGGCAAATACAAAAGTTTTCCTAGACTTTACTTTCTCCAAGGTAGGTATTCAATAGCAGAATGTTCCTCACAGAAAAAAGCTTCCTGATAATATTATACAATATAAAAAGATAGTGTGAAGGGTAGGAAGAATGCTTCCTCCATGACATTTTGGTCCATTAATGTGCTGGAAGGTGATTTTGTTTTTAAATCATCCTACCTACAGCAGGTAGCTTCATTTTTTTACTCCTTACCAGATGATTCCACTGAATGTATAAAATAGTCTGTACTTTTTAAAAATAAGTTTAATCAAGGAAAACCAAAGTAGAGCAAAATTAAGCAAGCAAAAGTAGAGAAATTGAAATGTTATAAAAATAAAAGCAATCAGTTTGGTTAGTAAAGAGAAGGCCATTAAAGAACAGTACATGGGATCATAAGATGTAACTGCAGAATCTGTTATACAATATGCATGCGCAGAGAGAGAGAGAGAGAGAGAGAGAGAGAGAGAGAGAGAGAGAGAGAGAGAGAGAGATTTTGCATGTTTTAAATTCTTCAGCTAAGGGATTTTTGTGAATGGAAAGAGTTCATGGAGAAGAGATCCTTCACCTCAGCTCCCTTTGGAGTGAACATGCTCCAAAGGTAGCAGCAGATGACTTTGTGGAAATACCCCACCCCCTTTACCTGTACAACCAATTTAGGACCCAAGTCAGTGTATGTTTCAAAATACAATACACAGGAGCCTTGAAGGTACTAGAAGGCTAATACAGATTAATAGGATACTATAAGTATTTTCCAAATATTTTGGCTAGATTTAATGCAAACACTGTCCTCTCAGGGTTCAAGCAATGATGTCATGCATAACTAGAACAGAATTGTGTTTTCAGGTCCTACTTTTCAAATTTCAGTTTACGCAAGAGTATATTAGGTGATCTTAAGCAACTACTTGATTCCAACACTTGCCTGCCACCTGTATGATTAGCACAGTAATAATACTGGCCTTTCAAAGTTACTCTAAGGATTACTGAAATAATGTATTTGAAGTGATTTTATCATTTATGGAAAAACACAATTGTTGCTATCATTATTGTAAATATTTATATTCTTAGCATTATTGATATCACCAATAGTACAAAAAATGAAAGCCTGAATGATGCTTCATAGCACTGCAAAATTTAATCATTTTATATCCACTTAAAGTCTTGACACTTTAAAGTGCAATTAGATAATTATAATAAGCATCAAAATTCAAATAGAACAGTTACATCCCTCAATTTCATGCAAGTTTGTACAACTTGCTATACAATTCCCACTAAACTGTAGATGGATAGAAATACACACAGCTAAATTATTATAAAAGAAAACTATTATTATTATTTCCTATTATAAAAAGGAAACTATTGTTCAATAGTGCTGGAGTAAAAGGGGAAAAACCCCATACTCAGCCCATCCAAGAGTTAGTCAAGATACACCTTAAATACCTTCTGCAGCATGATTATATTTGTGGAAGCACCACTCCGCACTTAAATACAGGTATATTTCTATCATTAGCAAAGAAATAGATTAATTTCTAATCTTTATAATACTGCAGGTTCAATAAAGCAACCTGTTTTGGAAACAGCTTCCTTGTCTTCCTGCTTCTCAAGCAACAATCTTTGTCATCAGAGATTCAGTATGTATTAGAGAACAGGTATAGGCAGCTGTGTAATTAGGGTACCAATTCTCCTCAGGTGAAAATCACACAAACTGCTTGGATGTTATCTTCTTGTAGAGACAAAGCTCCCACAGCCACCTGTGCCTGAAGGGAGAATGGTCTGCCAAATCTGGCTTTGTTCACAGGTTTCTTCCCTCACCCTATGTAGGCTTATTTCAGCTCTTGTCAAGCCTATTTTAAAGCAGGGAAAATATGGTTCTCTGACACATGTCATCACTTTCCTTTGCTAGCACTTCCTTTGCTAACTTTCCTTTGCTGTACCTTCAATTCTATGATGTCACAGCAACCTTCTGCAACATAGAAGGTTTAAATTTGTTTCTGTTCTAAGTATGATTAAATGTGGATCTAATCTGAAGAGCAATTCAAGGTTCTGATCAAGTGAACAATATCACTGAGTTTTTTCTTATATAAGTTATATTTTCCTACAATTTAGAATATTGGCATTGCTTCCCTGCTTTGGTATGAAAGACTAATCATTATGTTTATATGCTGCAGAGGATTTTATAACACTTAGTGGAAAACAGAATAGTTCATACTTCCTAGATCTGGAAACTCTGTGACACCATAACATAATGACTTCTCCCACAAGGTCCTTATTTTGGAGCTTAGAATAGCTGCCAAGGGGTGTCCACTAATTATCCACTGTTGGTTGATTTAACATTTGCCTTTTAAATGATCATTGACATTTATTTAAGCCACCTGCCCAAACTCAGGTGGAAATGTCTATGAATTAGGCTAGAACATAGGGTCAAAGTGCAAGAGTCTTTGATGTGTTTTTACCATTATAATCACGCCTTTTCAATCTTTATTCATGTAATACACAAAAGCAAAAATAGTTTTTAAAAAGGAATGCATCCCTTAATTCAATTCCCTGAATAAAAATAAAAACGCCTATGAATATATCAATTACTTTTTTGTAATGAAACAGTAGGCTTCAGCTTGCACAGGTTAGTCATATTTCAAGGTTTCCGCTTTTTCATTTTTTCTACCAGTACAACTGTTTTTTTATGTTTCTACTTACTTATTTACGTTCCAGTCTCTATCATAGGGTACCCATTATGTCCTACAGGCTCCCATTCCCATTTTCTTGAAGAACATAATTTCTTTTGAAATACTCATTTTCTATGATCTGAGTTGGTAACTTCGAAAACTCTATTGAAATAACATTATCATATTACTACAGTATTGTAGTAGAACAGTTATCATCAGGCCAACAGCTGTAAATGTGACAAACACATAAGCCAGGGTGCCCAAACAGTGGTCCAGGAGGGCTACGGATGCATCCCAACGTAAAATCTTAAACTTCAAACACTGAGATCTTTTTGTGATTTTTGGATGACTTGGCCATGTGGTTCTTGAGCGTGAACTTTGCCGACAGCAATGTTGGACTGTGATGTCTCATGAAATAAATGCATGTTTGCTCTTGCTAATTGTAAGCACAGTGGTGGCAGATATCAAGAAAATTATGCACAGACTTTTTTTTTGGCTCATCTGCATTTGTTAGCGCATGTGTATTTAATGTGCAGCCCGATACTAATTTTCTTCTTCCAGTGTGGCCCAGAGGAGCCAAAAGGTTGGACACCCCTGACATAAACCATAGTCTAAGAAGCCTGAGGTTGCCGTTTTTAACCCAACAGAGATTTTATCACCTTCTGTATGACAAGCAGAGAATAAAAGGGTGAAGATTTTCCTAGTATGAGAAAGCAGTGAGGACCAAGCTGCAAAAGAACCTTGGTATATGTTCAGAATACTGTTGTCCTATATGATACTCTATATTGCATAGGTCCTCAAACTACGGCCCGGGGGCCGGATCCGGCCCGCCATGCCCATTTGGACCTGCCGCGTGTGCCCGCTCCTGCACCCACCACTGCCCACCTTGCCCCACGCACAGGGAGGCAGCAGTTTGCTAGCTTGGAGAAAACGATCTCCAAACGAGCAAGCCACTGCCTCATGCGCCCACCTCGCAGCGCGTGCCCGCCCCACCTCCCCTCACCATGCTCATGCATCAGCCCGCGCCTCACCCGCCCGTACCTCACCTCCCCTTGCTGTGCCCGCCCACGCCCCGCCTTGCCGTGCGCCCCGCCTCCGCCTCAGCGCATGCACCTGCACGCACCGCCCCCTCAGCACTGTGGGCACCACCTTTCTGGTCCGCGGCCAGCACCGGCACCTTTCAACTGGCCTCCTGCTGAAAAAGTTTGAGGACCCCTGCTATATTGTATCATAGAGCGTGTCATATCTTCCTTCCCAGTCAGCTACTAGCAAAGAATGGCAACTTTTTGCAAGAACATGACTTAAGAATTTATTTTAACATTGTAATCTCACCTATTTTGGGACAGCTTTAAGGTTAAGAGTTCAGTTCAACTAATTAAACACATAGAAAATCCATTATATATGACTTTTTGTTGCAGATTCTCACAATACAAACTTGTCTAATAGCAGAATTCACAGTAGACTAAATTTCTCCAGGTTATTGCCACCTTTAACAAAGGTATGACATAATTCAATAGTCTGGTGTTTGAGATATAAAGTGATGGCTAAAGCTGTGCATGACTTGTATTATTCCTAAAATAATATACCCAGGTCAGTAATTAATACAAGCAATAATATTTCACCTATTACTACACTTGTTCCCACACTTTAAAAGTTAAAGGACAGTTAGAATAGCAAATATTAAAAGGCCATTGTAAAAACCTATATAAAAGAAAACATTTTACCTGCTATTTGCTTCAGAAGAGCACTCTTGTGTCCATTAACAGCAAAAGCATGAACCTGAGATGCTAGTGGAGAACCACTGAAAAGCCAGGTCTCAGAAACATTCATACTCCTTTCTGAAAGTTCAGAGATTAGCCCTACATAAACATAAACACACAACATCTTCATCAAAACTACCATAATGGAAACTTTTCAAAAGAAGAAAACATATTTTTACATATGTAAAGCTCAGTGATGTGCTAATAGCACAGTACTTTCAGATTGATTGATTTATTTAGCTAAAATCTTTTACACATGCCTTACAGAATGAGGAGTCCAGTTCAATGGCAGATGTCAATTTTGAATCTTTCATGTTATTCTAATGCACTAATTCCTACACTAGCTCTGATTAAATAAACATACTTTAATTTAAACCACCACACTGAAGATTTAATTCCAACAGGAGTCATTACAGATATACATCCAATCTTGTTTGTAAAAGATATAAGGGGAAAAGAATTATTGAAGTTCATGACAAACCTCAGACTCAAAAAGATGTTATTATATGCCAAGATACTATAGCTGAGAACACTGAAGCTCAAGGGAGCAATTGTGTTGTCAGAGGGAGATGATGAAATTATGAAAAGACTTAAAGTTTCTGTCAAATGAACACATCCCAGATCATAGATCAGCATTTAAAAAGATTAATCTTAGTGCCCAGAAAGCAACAACAAAAACATAAGACAGAAGTTGAGAATGTTTATAGATGAACAGAGAAAAAAAAATCCCTTCAAGGTAAAAGTTTTAATCCTGGAGCCCAAAGAAGAAAGTTTAAGATGCAGTGGTACCTTGGCTCACGAACTTAATCCGTTCCAGGACTCTGGTCATGACCCAAATTGGTCGCGAGCCAACTCAAATTCCCCCATAAGGTTCAATATAAATAAGGTTAATCTGTTCTGTAAATATTTTTTAATCACAAAAATTGGAAACAAAGTACACTACAGTAGAGAACACTAAACTAGTTGGGGGGGGGAGTTTATTGTTTGGAGGGAGAGTCCAAACCATAATCATGCAATAGTGATCATACTCGGGGGTGGGGGGAGACGGGCACGATCGCAGGCGCGCTAGTGCAGGGCCATGATCGCGATTGCGGCCATCTCTCTCTCCACGCCCCTCGAGCACTACCACAATCACACTAATCTTCCCTGCTCGAGTGTAACTGTGATTGCGGCTATCCCCCACCCCTAAGCACAATTGTGCAGGGAAGACGGGCGCGATCGTCACCCAATGCGAAGTTTGCATCCTGAGTCAATTTTTTTCTGAAATTTCTGTTTGCGAGCCGATTTGGTCATGAACTCAGGCATTCGTGAGCCAAGGTACCACTGTACTTTTCAGCAGAGCACATGGCATGGAAGAGGGCAGTCATTAGATGAAATAAAAGTTCTTATGCCTATAACTGTTGCTTAGAATAGTGTATTTGACCAAATTACTATTTGCATCTAATCACTCTGACATAATTTTGGTCCTGGGGCACTTGGATTAAAAATCTTTGTCCAGCCATTAAGCTCACAAGGTGACCCGTGACAAGCTATTTTTTCTTTGCCTAATCTACCTCACTGTACTGTTGAGATGGCTGACACTCCATTAGCCACTCTATGCATCTTGAAATAGAAGCAGAATGCAAATGTGACTTCAAGGGTCTTTACCTTATTTATCTTAGAAGAATTATTGTGTATTTTGGTCTATGGTGCCACCACTGATGCAACTACCATGATCATCATTTGTTTGCCTCCTCACCACTAACTAAAAACAAAACACTGGAAGGACAATAACTTTTCTATTACTTCCGTTTAGGAAGTCTGTTTTCTGTCTCAGTAAATTCTTACATAAAACTAGGGATGGGAAGAAGTTTGCATCTTTACATTAACATGCTTATGCTTCCAACTTTAAGGATCATTATACATGCATTCATCTGTTTCCTACCAATCTACTAATGGTTGTATAGGTTTACATCTGACTTGGATATATTTGCCCTGTCCCTTAAGACAGCTTAGGAACCATCCTAAATGAGTACATTTCCTGAATGCCTGGAAGTACATTTTACAAAGTTAGATTGATACGGCAACTTCATCTTTTCCTGGACTGTAAGGACCTGCTTGTTATGTTCTAGTAACATTCACATTAGATAAATGTAAGAAACGTTACATGGGTTTATCTTTAAAAAGCACTTCAGAGACCATAACTGGCTCAGAATGTACCTGCCAGTCTGCTAAAGGGACAGGGTTCCTGGAGCACATCATTCTGATTTTTCAACAACTTATGTTTACATCCCACCATTTTTCTTTTCAAGCAATTCAAAGTGGCTTATATAATCTTCTTCTCAATTTTATCCTCACATCAACAATCCTTCTGGTTAATTTTTAAGCTCAGCTCAAAAAGTCTGGTTCTAATACCTGTAACACAATTCTAGGCATGTCTGCTCAGATGTTAGGAGAAAGTCCCATTGAATATACAGAATTTCAACTTAACCATGCAATTCTATGCAAGTCTTGCAGAAGTAAAGCTGACTAGGTTTGATGTGGCTTACTATCAGATAAGTGTATACAGGATTGCAGTCTTAAATGTTCTTGAACCAGGATGCTTTATGGACCAATGCCCTTCGGCTTTCTGGATACAAAGGCAAGATCTTCAGGATAAATAGCAGGGGGATTGTGAAAACTTCTTCCTAAGGAGGGACAGCTTACATTCCTTCTGCTGGTTGTCAACTTAAAATTGTGCTTTTTATGAAGGCTCTTGCAGCTACCTTAATTAGAAATGTCAGCTTTGGACGTTCATAATCTATACTTGTTATATGTACTGATAGTTGTGGATTTGTATTTTGAGTTTTTTATCTGTTATGCTTTTTAACTTATTGCAACCCACTATATGGATTCATTGTGAGCAAAAACAAATCAGCTAAGCAACTGTGGGACAATCACTTACTCTCAGCCTCACTTGCCACACAAGGGGTTTCAAGGATAAAATGGAGAGAGCAGGAAACTTCCATAAAAAATAATATAATTGTATATATTGTCCCTACTTTATTTATTTATTTATTTAAAACTTTTGTATGCCATTCCTTATGCATGGCATTTCAGGACAGCTCACAATCCATAAAATCAAAATACAATAAAAGCACATATATAAATAACATAGTAACAATAAAAGTGTACATAAAAGTCAAAATCAAAGCGACTGTTCAAAATGATTCAAATACTAATTTTTAAAATAGCAATTAAATAAAAAGGTTTTGACCTGGCGCTGAAAAGAATATAAACTCGGTGCTAGGCACACCACTCCGGGGAGCATGTTGGACCACCTCAGTTCAAAATAATGACTAGAAGAAGGGGGGGGGGGGGGGGTTGAAAATGTTCCAAACTGCCTAGATGAAGGAAAAGCAGGGATTTAAGAGCTGTAATAAGAAGAGGATTGAGTGACTATCAATATCATCTTATATATGGAATACGTAATCCTTGCTGCACTTCTGCTGGGAGGATGGAGTCTGCCTGCTAGAGATCTGAACAACTTTCTTGGAGATTTCTAGTGGTGCATGAAATCCATAGCAGAGGAAAGTGGCAGAGCAATGCTTGCCTCTTCCTGGTGGGTAGTGTATATAGACGGTCAGTTATCAATAAGCTCCCAAAAGCTAATTTAAGGTGAAAGGGGCTCCTCTGGATGCCAGCTAGGATTTGGAGGACTTGGCATGGGAAAGGAGTCCCCCTTTGGACTAGAACATGTCTCACATGTTGGACTGGAGTCTGAGGGGGAACCAGGACAACATCTAGGGATGTGTCTAGAGATGGGGATGGTCAGTCAGCTATCTCCAAATCCAGGACTCAGTCAGGCTCACTCTAATTAGGAAACCTTGGTAAAATCCCACACAGCTTTCATTCAACAGGCTACACTGTTGCTGTTGTCACTACTGCGTCCATTAAAAAAGGTGGTTTTCTGCTAAATTTCACTGGCAAGCTGAAAAGTGACAAATTTAGCTTATTCACAAGTCTCTTTTGAGCCTTCATTGCCATTAGCTGCCAAAATTCAGTGGCAAACTGTCAAGTTTTTGCCACAACTTCAACAACTTTCAGTAGAATGTGAGCAGCAGAGGCCGGGGGATCCTGAATACAGCACACATACTGTTCATCCCTGCTTGGACACCAGCACACCTGCTTTTTGGCAGTACCCTGCCTCCCATTCTGGGAAGGACTCAGAGTGTTATGGGTTGCTATTTATATATTTATTTATTTAATTTATGCCCCACTTTTTTCTTACAAACTCAAAGCAGGTAATGTCATCCTTCTCCTGCTGCATTCAATCTTATACCCACAACAACAACCCTAGTTGGGCTGAGAGTATGTGACTGGCTCATAGTCACCAGTTGGCTCCATGGCCTAGTGGGGACTAAAACCCAGGTCGCCTGAGTCCCAGTCCCACTCTCTTAATCATGATACCACACTGGCTTTCTTGACTATTCAAACCAGACTGGCTTAGGCTGTTTTTTTCACCTACTCCATACTTAACCTCTAGGACAGGACAGGCAACTTTTTCCCTTACCTCTGTTGAAGTCAAATGAGCTACACTGAAGTGAGATGGAGAAAAGGTTGTCTTGGCAAAAACATCTGGGAGGGGAGGGAAGACCTCTTTTGCTTGGGGCCATCGCCATCGGCACCGCCCCCCCACCCCACCCCATTTTATTCAAGTCAATTTCAGTTATCAGAGTATTGGCAAGGGGCCAAACAGGGGTTCATTAGCAGGTGCTACTGCACTCATGGCCACTGTGTTACTGATCACAAGTGTGTAATTGGCTGTTATGGTATCAAATACAGGTAGTCCCCAGATTATGGTCAAATTCCATTCCTGAGAACATCCTTAAGCCAAACTTGTATGTGAGTCAGATCACATGAGTAAGCAAATATTTATATTAGTATATGTATATATTTTACCTCTCTATGCATATACAACATTTAAGAAACACTTCCATATTCACTAAACATCTTAAACGCAATACAGCATTGTAATAATTATAATAATGCAGTAATAATAAAGTAAGGACAGGTAGTGAAGAGAGAGAATCTGTATGTGCACGTATGTATAGGTATACTATACTGTAAAAAACAAATAA